GCCTTTTTTTTTTTTTTTTTTTTTTTGGTTGGGGACGACTCGTTGAGATTTTTATGAAGTGCGTTATTTGTATCCATGTTATGTCAAAGTTTCAGCCCCCCACACCCCCACCCACCCACCCCTGCTCGATATTACATTTTAAAAAGGACTTATAGGAACATTTTTTAAAGGGTTATTTCATGTTAAGATTTCAAAGAGTCTTTTAGTATCTCGAGATAGACAAATAAATAGACAATAAACAGTCTACTTCAAAACAAAAAAAAGTTAATTTCCATCTAAGGATGACTTTTTTCCAAAAGTCACGTATATTTATAATTTCCTGGGATCGATATGTAGAGAAGGACTTGCAGCAGTTGGATCGATCCGAACGGAATGATGTGTCGGAGCAGGCCAGGGCCTTGATGTTTAATACACCATAAATTATGGTAATAGACATGAAGAAGAGAGACCGGAAGTCTTGGAAAGAATTGTTAATGGCATATGCTCAGTTGGAAGTTGAAAAGGCAAAGAATGTATGTGCAAATGATGATATCAAACGTACAAATGTTGGTAAGAAGGTTACAAATTTTAGTAAATATGTTAAAAATGTTAGTCAATATGTTACAAATGTTAGTAAATAAGTTACAAATGTTAGTAAATATGTTACAAATGTTAGTAAATATGTTACAAATGTTAGTAAATAAGTTACAAATGTCAGTAAATATGTTACAAATGTTAGTAAATGTTACAAATCTTGTCAAATACTTTACAAAAGTTGGTCAATATGTTGCATGTGTTGGCAAATGTTACGAATGGTGTTAAAGTAACGCAGCTATACTCTTTCACGTGTCACGTGACCCAGAGGGGCCAAGCAGAAGCCAGTGCTCGAACGTACACATTGACACTCACACACACCCAAGCAAACCCCGACCAAAACAAAGACTTCAAATTAAATATCGATGCGACCTTAGAGCACGCAATTGAGTCATCAATTAAGTCTTAACTTTTTTTCTTTTTTTTAAATGTGTTTTAAGAGTTTTTCAATAAACTGGGTCGTTATTGATTGAGCGGTATGGAATGATGATGAAAAACAACAAGAACTAAAAAACGGAAGAAAAGATGAAAGTAATAACATCCATCATCGGCCATTACAGATTGTTGCCGTGGAGAAGGTCATTGTTCATTTTTATCATTAAGAAATTGAGTGCTCTTTTTTATACAACCCTATGACAGCGGTTCTCAACCTATGGGTCGCGAAAACACATATTTATGAAGCAGCAACGAAAATAAATTTATAATAGGGGTTACCACAACATGATGAACTGTATTAAAGGGTCGCGGCATTAGGAAGGATGAGAACCACTGCCCCAAGGGGTTTTGAAGGGGACGGATATAGTTTATGAATTATTTAACTTGATGGTGAAATATGTATGAGCTGCTTTGTTTCGAGTTTTTAAATGATTAACAATTTTATAATTTTTATTTTTTATTTATTTTGGGAGTGTGTCATTTTGAAAGTAAGAATATGGATTATAGTTTTGTAGAAAACAACTTGACTTGATAAATTTGATAATTTCATTATGACTGATGTTACTCATACAAGCGCTTACACTCACACGGTCAATCTAAATTCGTATAACCCAGTGGCGCAGGACAAAGTGGAAAAGGGGGGGGGGGCGCAGAAGGGACATGATGGTTTTGATTTGTTTAGCGTCCAACAGAGGCAAGATTTCTGTCGGCCAGTTCTCATTTTGTCAATTTAGTATTGAGGGGTGGCTTTATCGGCTACCTGCTCTAAACCACCAAAACAAACGAATTGAAATGTCCATCAGGTAGCAAGAGACAATCACGAAAATCTTGCAATAAGTCGGGCACCGTGCGGCACCGAGGAACGACACGGAAAGAGGGTACCACGTGGCACGTCAACAGCCATTGTACAGGCCAGGCGCCCCCCCCCCCCCCCCCCCCCCCCGCGATACTTGTGGTGAAAGATAGGTCACCGCCAACCCCCACGTCTTCAGATAGGAAACGTTCGGGAACTCGGTGGTTGTGATTTCTGTTGATCGAAAGCGACCCGTAGCCATTATTTATAGGATCCATGTTTTTAATATGTGCGACGGGGTGTAACTAGAAGAGGACTCTCCAATAATAGCTGGGGATTTAATTTCTGTCATGATAAAAGTG